TAGAACTTCTCCAATTCCATATAGAACGCTTCGAGCTCATCCTCGTCGTAGCTTTGAGTGTTGTGCGTAGGCGACGAAGACTTGTCAAAGCTGGAGTTGAACCACATCTTCTCAATTCGCAAACGTCCGATTCGGGTCGTCAGACTTTCGTACGAATCGATGTTCATGGCCAGTGCGTGTTGACGAGGACGCCCACACCGCCAACGCCTCTGCTGTCGCATGTTCCAGGAACAGTTCTTCTCCAGTCTCGTATATGGCGTGTAGCGGGCGATGCCTCCTCCTCTCGGTCAGTCCGATGACGTCGTACTTGATCTTCCTGGCTTGCAACATCAGATCTTCGATGTGAGCTTCCGATGCAAGCGTCCGTGCGTTGAAAGTACAGATCGTCATCCTAGTCCTGGGCGACTTAAATCTCCGTTGGCCCTGTGATTCTTGCAGTCTCGCCCGAGCATTCCCAGCCGACGTCGCCCTGTCGGTGGTTCCCTCAGGTTCAGGGGAATGAGGCATATAATTATTACCGTTTTCGGCGAGAAGAAATTTAACCACGCGTAGCTCGCCAGGCTGTGACGTGTCACCCTCCGCATTGGTACGGTGTTGGAACATCCAAACCGTTCACCCCACGCCACGTTGAGGCTGCGGATAGGAATCGTGGGGGCCTTAATACTCTCCACAATCGGCCGGCGCCGACCAATACGTCGGCGTTTGAATCCAACACGACTGAAGCGCTGTTACAGCGCATCGGTTACGCGCATCGCGATGTCTGAACGCGGTCTAACGCTTCACACTTGGTGAAGGGACACAGACACCCTCCCTCCTAACTACCTTAGCGGCTGTCTCGAAACTTACCGCTTGTATCAAATGAGAGTGGCAGATAAATCTGGAACTGACGCTTATCTGTTTCAACAAATAATCGACATTTTTCCCTGCCACAGCTCCTGCCAACGAAAGCGATGCTACCATGATAAAATTCGGCTTTTTGGCTTCTGCATACATTCGCTTCATTGAATTAGTGCTGGTCAATTTCCCACAGAACGCACACGATCTTCCCATTTGAAATGAGGACTGAAAAAAACGATGATTGCACTCGAAGGCGATCGACTTTGGCACGTTTTAGGGATTAGAATTGTTAGAACATGTGGCAACTGAAGCATTAAAACAAAAAACGTCTCAAGACACAGAATAAGATCCTGTTTGATCGAAGGCATCTGGAGGGGTTTCGCAGGTTTTAGATGAGCTTTCCGTAACCTATCGCAGCCTCGTTGCGGCCAAGGGGCCACATGGGGCCACATCTAAGCTGTGAAGTTAATCTGTCTATTCTAATATAATCATATCTATCTCTAAAATCTCTCTATCAGTGTACGATACGAACGCTAGAAATTTAGCGGTTATCAATGAGGATTGATAACGGAATACCAACCTGGGCGGGATTAACACAACAGGCGGAGTAAACAGTTCAGTGAACAGCAGTAAGCAGTGATATTATAACCCGTGCTATGAATTTTGGCAGCTTCCGAAGTGACCCGTACGGTGTCGTATCAGCTGTTAACACTTCCTGCCATCTACCAATAATGTTTCCATCTTGCCCCCTATCTTCATCTTGGAACTAATGTCCTGCCATCGCTGTGACGCATGTTATGAAGCTGATGACCCTCCCTTTGTGAGCCCCCTTCTGGTATCTTATCAGCTGTTAACACTTCCTGCCACCCACCAATGATGTTTCCATCCTGTCCGCCTATCTTCAGCTTCTTCGAATCGAACGTTCCTAACTCGTCGCTGTGACATTTTCGTTATCGAATTCGGTGACCTCGCCTTCTGAGACGCGCCTCATGTATCTATCAGCTGTTATCACTTTCTGGGCCACCCATGCGAATGATGTTCCATCCTCACGCCTAGTCTTCACCTCCTGGAACGCTCCCATCGTTGCTGTGCCAGTGCTATGGAGTTTGGTGGCCTTTCCCTTCATAAAGGGACTCCCTTGGTGGTATGCTTATAGCTGTTACCCCACGTCCTGCCACCCGCCAATAATGTTCCCATTATGCCTCCTATCTTACCTCTCGGAACCTACGTCCCGTCATCGCTGTGGCCCTCTTTATGAAGTTTGACCCTCCCCTTCTAAGCCCCGGTATGGTACCTTATCAACTCTTGTCACTTCCTGCCACCCACCAATGATGTTCTTGCCCGACCCCCCCCGACCCCCCACATCACTTATGAATTTGAGCGCTTCAGCGCTTTTTTGAAGAAAGTTATGAATTTCCGGTGAAACACACATACAGACAGACAAACACATGCACACACACACCACGCCAACAGACAAATTTAGCCTAGGATTATACAGTCGTCATCCTTGCACTTGATAGGGGCGTGTCGGCGAGAAGGAGCGTGCACACTGTTTGAAGCCTTCTCAGCCTTTTCGTTGAAACGCGTATGCGACAAAAAGTGATAGAAAACGAGTAACACGAAGGATATAATACAGTAATGTCACTTCCTGGTTCAACGATTGGTGCAGTACGGGTGCGGGCGACCGCGCCGCACGCAGCCGGCCACTGGGAAACAATTGACAGTGCAAGGATGACGACTGTATATAGTAGGACAGCAGTAGATGCAAGAACAACCAAGGAGTGGACAGGGATGATTCCACAGCTTGAATGAAATGAACTACGGAATGCATCGAGCCGTGAAATGAAGTGTGTGGCCACCTTGGTTACGCACACTGCACACCATATTACGCGCAACACATTGTCGCATGGAGATGCTTCGTCATTGGGGGTGTCATTTGTTGAAGAATTCCCGGCTTGGAGGGACGCAAATGCCACTGAAAATTCCCTGGGGCGTCATCTGCCGGCGGTTTTTCTTTTCAGGAAAAAAAGCGGAGGAACCTTGGAAAAGTTGGAAAGAGGGGAAAAGTCTTAATACAGTGAGTAGGGTGAGGAAGCGGGATTAAACGAGCGCGAAAAGTTCGGCAGGGGGTCGTGTTCTGTGGAAATTCTCCAAGAGGCTGTGCCCTGTCTATGAATTTGGGTTTCTGCGGAGCATCTCAAACGCTGATGTAGTTTGAGAGGGGGGGGGAAGAATAACCCGGGAGCGCATGTCCTGTCTAAACCCGCTTGTTTGGCTCGTTCGTTCGGCTTTAGCAAATATTACAGGGCTGCAGTAACTACTTTATTGTATATCAAATAACTACAATACTACAAAGAAGAACTACAATTATCGTTCGCCGTGCATCCTCGATCTCGTTCGTTCGTTTGAGGCCGGGAGAGAGATATTGTTCGAACTTACTCGGAGGGAGTTACGACCCCGACTCCTCGACGGCCCGCCTCCTCGTGAGCCGCTCCCTGGCGCAGCTGTGACTCCTCGGTCCCGCCTCCTCACAGTTCTGCTACATTACGGTGTACATCGTGATGACGCACGACATGTCCCTTCCCTTACCAGCGCTTGATGTAGACTACGTCTTCTCCGAGGGACTACCATACACTCTGAACCAAAGAGGTGATGGCTTTTTTTTGTTGAGAATACTTACCAAGCCCCCGCTCCTTTGAGTTTCCAGGCGCGGTAAAGACTATGCTTCGATGCGCCGTATGACGGCGTAGTGAAGGAATACATGCGATCGCGTGGACGTGCAAAAACTATCTAATACTGATAGCTAATGCGTAGGTGTCGACCTCCTCGCACTCATGATCAAGTGACATAAATTTTGTGAAACTGGCTTGGAGAGGAAGGTACGGTGAACAAAGGGGCGTAACGAAGGCGCAACTGCGATGCGGAGTCGCACTTTGCAAAGATTCTCTTACGTCCTGCTGTAAATACACCCTCACAATTCGCTCGCAGCCACCTTACGGGGGCTGTTTTCAGTTCCAGTTCAGAGCTTTGAACCTCCGGGAGTTTTCGCTTATGTGTTATCACGGTGATTTTTTTTTTCTCGCGTTGCCTTATTGCTATAGTATTCGAAAAACAGTCGATGAACCATTTTTTATTGTTTCATTAAAGCAAAGACATATTTACAAAATATTTACAAAACAAACAGCTTTAACTGAAGCAGTGCTACTACGAAAGAATGCAATGCAATAGCACCCTATCGATAGGGGGCGTACATACTTCGCGATTGGATTGGTCCGATCGCGCGACCAAATCGCGGAGTATGAACGAAATTTTAAAGGGCATGATTAAGTGCATAAGTGCACCAGTATTTTTGAAAAAAGAAGCTATGCGGCCAAGTCGGAGATGAAAACTATCTTCACATCGGCAACTGAATTCAAAAGGCCTAACGAGCAAACATAAGGATACACTGAGCACATACCTGAAAGACAATGATCACGGAAATATGATGTGGCTGACAAAAAATTCACGACGGATTACTTCTCTTTAATCTACATTGTTGATCTTCTGGCTTCTTTTCTCTCGCAGTGCCATCATTTTCAGGGCCAATCAGTTCCCCGGACACCGGTTTAATTATTCGATTTCTGCAAAATATATTAAATTTGATAGGACAACTTGCTTTTGTTGCGATTAATGCTGTTAATCACCGCAGTCTGCAATGCGAAACTTCACAGAAATTGGTAGAGGCAAAACCCTGTGCTCATGCCAGAACTCGAACTCCTATCGTAAATGGCGACAGGCTATGTGAAACATCATTAGACAGAGGCTGCGTTCATACTTTGCGACTCCAGCGATTCCCTTGATGCGATCAAGCGTTTCCACTTAATAGTTGGTGGAGTGTTGTAAATGCTAATTCGATCTCATTTGAGAGTTTTTAACCGGTCTAGCAGTGTAGCGCGGTCGATCACAGTCACGCCTGTGGTACTCGCAGGTGTCGCGAAATAAGATCGTGGCCTGCGTGCAAAAGGCGTTCCTGATATAGTAATGGTTAGCACTATAAGATGCGAGGCCCGACTAGGTAAAGATTTTCGTCCTCAACTAACCATCCTTGGGATATGAAAAAAATCGACACAACGCATCACTAGAGGAAGCTGTTATTAGTAGGAACACACCTGGATTTCACGTTTTTACTCCCGTAGTGCAGTCTGTGAGAAGAATCTAGGTGGACGACCTCGTGAAATACGTGTTTGGGGTGCGCTGCTTATTGTGGTAGGTGGTAATCTGGAAGTGAAGCGTTAAGAACAGTAGGATATGAGTATATTCATGGAAGGGAGAAAAGGGACCATGCTAGAAAAAGAACAATAGGGTACAGAGTTCCTTTTGAAAAACGTTAAAACGCTCTACGTAAAATGAATAGCCAAAAAACTCACTGAATACTTCGTCGATTCACCCGATCGTTCAGTTTTGACCTGATTGTCATGTGGAGCTTTGAGTCGCGAACGAAGAGGAGGCAGTCTATTGGAGAGTGGCCAACGACATTACCTCGTACAATCGCATGGCTGTCATGTTCCAATACAGGCATCGTGCTTTCTGCTTTTACTTCACGATCCAATGTGCTTACTCCATCACGTTCCTGGAACTGACACTAATTTAATGTGGAAATTTGAAGAGGCACCGAAAATTTCCACTGCAGAAGACTCCAACGATCCGGAAAGAATCTTTAAGATTTTGCAAAAAAAATTGTTTTTATTTCTCCCTTCGAATATTTCGGTGCTTAGCACCTTCTCTTGAAATGCTGCAGTTAGGAAAATACTTCTGTTGGTGCCTCCAATTGACTGGACCCTACCTCCGCTGCTGTGGACTACGTACCCTTCTTGCTAAAGCCGAGCCCCGCAGGACTGGGTCAACAGCGACTGAGGTCGACATCTTTCGAAAGGTCGCACAAGTTCCTGCGCAAGTTATGGAGGTAGCCAGTAATCGACAAAGAGAGAAGAACGGACAACAGCAGAGATCTTGGCAGTACCCGTAGGACGTGGTGTCGCATAAAATACTTGGCTCTTTCAGGCTGCAGGTTGGAGCACGTGACGGCACGAGCTAGGCAAACCGTCTGTTGCAAATGGTGAAAGATGGGAAGGGAGAGACGAAAACAGTACCAAATGTGATGCCTCAAAAAGACTCACTGAACTCTTCAGCGGTTCATTCGATTGATCGAATTCGATGCGATCTGGAACGCCACTTGGAGCTGCTTGTGGAGAAAGAGGAGGTGGTTGAGACTGTGGAGAAAGAGGATGTGGTTCAGTGAGAAGTCCAACGACATCAACTTGTGCAGCTTCGCAGTCGACGTGTTCCACAACACCATTCGCTTCTTCCAGTTTTATTTCACGATCAACAGCGCTTACTTCATTGTGTTCCTGAATGCGAATACCTTGATCAGTCACCATATTCAAGCTTTTAATCGGTCAAGCCAAATACGCCTACCACCGTTTCAAAAGGAAATGCTACCAAGTTCACAAAAATTATGTAGTTGCGCCTCATTTAGGCAGGGACGGGAAGCATCCCCGTGTCACACGTCAAGACTGAAAAGGATACACAGCCGGGGGATGTGATGGCTATGTGAAATACTCGTCCTTCACTATGATCATCAACCCTTCCTTTAGTACGACCACGTTCCAGGACAAACCAGTACCTTGTGGAAAATTTTCACAAAATACGCCTTCCTCCCCAGAATTCGCTATCTGGTACAACTCTTCCTGTCCTATTCACCGTCTTTCCAGTTTTTCTGGAATCTTTGCATCATGCGGAAGCGAAACACCTCCAAACAACTGTCACAGTTAGTGGTTTTGCGGTTTTGATGATTAGAGGATTATGGTGCACATACAACGGAAAAAAAACAACCAGTAAAGTTCTCTCACAGCCAAATAGGACCCCGCTGTGCTTTCTACAACAGAAGTTAAGCCCTGCCTATTTCAGTTTGACAGCAGACGTTCACCACTCATCGCCTAAATTCTTTGGAAACTTTGTCCAAATTCTTTGGAAACTTTGTCCACGGAGTGTAATGAAAGGCGGGGGGGGGAGGGTGGGAAATGTGCAATACAGGCTCAGAAGAAAGTAATGAAAAATAAAGTACCCTAAAACGTAGTTGATATGTTCTGCCCAATTCCGTTAAAATATCTCTTTATAAAGTTTACAACTTGAACATTCTCCCGGAACACGTTTATGATCTGAGAAGACCTGAATACGGCCCCCCTCGTTCAAAATCCCACAACACTGATAACACACCATCAACTCGTTACCTCCACAAACTCGGGCTTCGTATCGATTTCTCCATTCCTTTTTTGCGCATCGACATTTTCCACTTGTCTTTTATCTGTCACCACATTTTTCGAACGCTTTGCGGATGGTCCCTTGAAAGTTGGCATCTTTGAACATTTTAAAATATTTACGCCAAACATTTTATACCTGCTGGCCAAGGGGCGAATGATAGTTATGGGTGGCACTGATGCGTCGCATTTTTGCAAAAATCGGGTCAACTTCAGGAGCAGGACTGGGCTAAGAGTAGACGGACCACTGTCAGTCAATTGGCCATTGACCAATTCGACCTCAGTAGAGCCTTTTAGGAAGGGAATGGAATGATTATGAAGGGGTGGGGGGGGGGGGGCGGTACACTCCAGCACATAATCACGAAGCTTCAAAGATTTTTTATTTGATTGTTGATTTTTCCCAATGCTACTCCGTACCCCTTCTTCTCAGCGAGACAGAGCTACAAAGCCACAATTTTTGATAGTTGATCGCCGGTATCTACCATCCGTCACCATACCCCTCCCCTCCTCCCTCGACGGCAAATGGCTGGAAATTTTGGTGAGAGGGTAGGTTGGATGTGAAAGGCGGTCATGTTTAGCCAGAGTTCTCAGCAAAGCGGAGATGTGCCCTGGTTCCTGGTTCACACGTTACTGTCCCTCTTCACAGAAAACGAGTTCAAATGTCGCCAAACTCGCCTATAAATCTCTCCTCATTGTCAGAAGTAGCTGGACCCCTTGAGCACAAATCGCGAACTTCTTATTCCTCGCATGGAAACAAGACCAATATGCGTCTTTAAGGGCAGTTGAATTGGTGGTTACGCGAAATTATGGGAAAATACGAAAATTCGATCAACTAAAGCTAGACCAAACTAGGCTAAAACAGCAGGCTAAACGCGAGTGAACGGTCGTGCGAAGCAGTCTAACATAACATCGCGAGAACTCCTCCTTCACTTTGTTGAACTAGGCAGCTTATTTTCCAGTGCTAAAC